GTATCGTGGGATGTATGGTGATTCCCACCTCTACTATTTACTAACCTAGTAAACTAAACAGGAACACAATAGTGTGAGTCCAAGCAAAGAGCTGTTGTGGACTTTTTTCTCATCTTGTTGTGTAAGCTAAACTGTCCTCCGTGTCTGTGCAATGATTTTCATGTTGATGTGAAGAGAAAATTACATTTGCATTAACAGTAGCTCTGTTGTTGTGGTGTGTGTGTGTGTGTGGGTGTGTGGGTGTGTGTTCTTCCATTTCTAGAACCTGATAAAGAACCTGCCAGAGCAGAAAGAGCTGAATGCGCTTGCAGAACTAAAGGGTGAATATGAGGAGCTTGTGGAGTCAGAGCAGTTTGGCATTGTGGTGAGTATCATTTTCCGGTGCTCGCTGCCTCCCAGATTCCAACAAGAAAACAGTCTGCACAATCACATTCCCTGTATGTTATAGTCAAATATTTGCAAGCATACACTGTTTAAAAATTGAATTTTTACTTCATTACACTCTCACTTTTTTGGGGAGCTGCTTGGTTTGGACACTGGTAGCTTATGACAAGGGTTTTTAGAAAAAAGCAAAACTTCCAAATGACAGAGGCTGTAGTTGAAAGCGTCCTTTTGACTTGAGCAACGAACAGTTCAATCATTTTTGATTAGGATTCTGCATCAAGAACTTACTGAATGCCATATTTTGACATCAGCTGTCAATGTTGTCTCATGATAAAATCACACCCTGAGGCTACCAACGCTGTCTGTAATAAAGTCCTTTGAAAGGTACGCAGTTGACATCAGTTGGCTTGGTGATGTTTCCCAATCCTCTAATCAATTTACCATGAACAGCCAAATTTCTGTCTTTTGCAGTGGTAAGATAAATAAAGTTATAGTGTATCACAACTTCACAAAGTAATCTTCATGTCTAGCACTCAGAAGAACTATAATTGTTTAATCGGAGTACGCATATACATATATGCAAGACATATAAAGAGCTTTGTCCTATTTTATTGTTCTTTTTTGTAATTCACAAATTGCCACAGACCTTTCAGAGACTTTTGTAACCACGAATCACCTTTGAACCGACTGAAATAAACAAACAAATAAATGCAGATAAATATACACAAAATCAGCTTTGGACTTGTCCTCTAATTGAAACAGCTACTACTGAGGATGACTGACAAAGTCAGGTTAAATTGTTTTACTGTAATTCTATTCTAGGAGATGGAAAGTACATCATCAAGCTACTCTGACCTTTCCACTTAGTTACAGCTATAATTACTTTTTAATTAACTGCTCTTGCCATCCACTTACCAAGTGAAAACCCAGCACTTTAGGCAACTGTAAAAGAAAGTGTTCTTTAAAGGTAACTTTACAACAAGACACAGAGATACATTATACAGGTCTACAAAAGAAATGCTGGAGCTAAATGTTAGACCTCGGGCTCACAGCTATATGTTACATTACACTATTTATCTCTTTACTTGTCTGTGTCTTTTGGAAGATGTAATGAAGCAGAGGGTGGCAAGTTTCCCTCATGAGCTCACCAATGTGATCGTACGCTGCCCCACTGATGAAGTAGCGCCTCATTGTAGAGATATTTAGTTCCCCTGGGAAATAAGCTATGTTCAAGCTTTTCTCTACCAAAGCTGTCACCAATATGCTTGCTTTCAGTGTGTAATTTGTACTTATTGTAGAGAAATCATTTCAAGTAAGAGAGAGAGAAGGAATGTGTGTGCATGTGTTTGTGATGGAGAGTAAGTGACTGAGTGTGTATAGCTGTGCCTGCAAAGAATTAAGGTAGAGGGGATTATGGGTATGTATTGCTATATATCGTATGTGTTTCTTGTTTGTTTTTCACCCGATTAGTATTTCTACATATTGTGTTTTATATTATTTAAG